TATAAAAGTTGGTTTCTGCATTCGAAAAACTTGGATCAGGTGGTTATCTCAGAAACAGTCTTCTCTCTGGGCCAAACAGTTTCCCTGATCAGTCCCCTCACCCACATTGAACCTTTAAAATCCTGGTGAAAACCAGAGTCCTCTTGCATTAGCCCATTGTCTTGATTTTGAGCTGGAAGATGCTGCATGGCTGAAGTAGGAAGGAACCAAGTGAGATCCTTCTGTTGTAAGTTACCTCCGAGCTATCACTAAACCATGCCGCTGCCTTCAAAACAGCCTCAAAAAGATGGGTAACCTTCAGCTACTGTAAGTCCTCACTTAACGTTGTCTATAGGTTCTTGGAACTGCAGTGAAAAGATGTATAATGAAACCAATTTTACCGCAGGCTAATTGATATAAACAAGAGTTAAGTTTATATGGTATCTCATTGAGGTTAGAGCAAAATGACATTATTCAAGGACGTGCTACACTCTGGACTTCCTCACCTATGCCCTATATGAACCTCTCCATGTTTGCCATTTAATCAGCAAATGCGTACTCTTCAGTAACCACTAGCCACCTACAGGTCAACAGTTTGATAGACTCGATAAAGGTGATCAAGTTGCTGCAGCTGCCTTTCTCTTCTTTAGCTTAATCCTAAAGTCTTTACCACAGTTCTGTATGACCTTAGGCAAATACGAACTGCTTTCAGCCTAAGGTTTTCCTAAATTAAGTGAAATTATCTATGTGAGGCACTTAACACAAAATAGGCACGTAATTTTTTTAATTAAAAAAATTAAAAATTATAGTTGACACACAATATTATGTTAGTTTCAGGTATACGTCATAGTGATTAGACATTTATATACCTTACAAAGTAATCACCACAATGAGTTCAATATCCATTGGGCACCATACATTATTATTATAATATGATTATTATTTACCGTATTCTCTATGCTGTACATTAGATTCCTGTGACTAATTTTATAACTGGCAGTTTGTATTTCTTAATCCCCTTGACTTTTTTGCCCATTCCCCCAGTCTTCTTCCATCTGGGAACCGTTAGTTTGTTTTCTGTATCTATGAGTTTGTTTCTGTTTTGTTTTGTTTGTTCATTTATTTTGTTTTTCAGATTGCACATATAAGTGAAATCATACAGTATTTCTCTTTCTCTGTCCGATTTATTTCACTAAACATTATACACTCTGTTCATCCATGTTGTAGCAAATGGCAAGACTTCGTTCTTTATTATGGCTGAGTAATATTCCATTGTGTATATGTATCACATCTTCTTTATCCATTTATCTATCGATGGACAGCTAGGTTGCCTCCATATCTTGGCTATTGTAAATAATGATACAATGAGCATAAGGGTGTATGTATCTTTTGGAATTAGCGTTTTCAATTTTTCAGATAAATAACAGAAGTGGGATTGCTGGGTCATATGCTTGGTAATTGTTAATGAAGATGAAATAGAAAATGACTAGTTAGTGAGGAATATTTTTCTTTATAACACTTTTTTCCTAGCCTCATTTCTGTTTTCTTTGGCTTGATGCCATCACAACACCCACAGTCTTTTAAAAGGTATGGTGTCTGAGGCTAGGAACTTCTCCCTCTCCAATCTGGGTTACATCTGAATATATTTGTAATATGATGACATGTGCCAGCTTACTCATGTCCAGCTTCTTCCTCATGTTCACCCATAATGAATCAGAGGGACAGTCATCTCTGGAGGATTTGACTTTATATCTCTGACTGCATTCTTAGCCTTCCATGGCTCCCTGATCCAAGTGCCAGGACCTCTCTGGCTCAGTATTACTAAATAAATAACCAACTGTATCACTCAGGGTCTCAGATCGAGGATGATTTATAAAAGGGCTGTTTACAAATGTGTGGCAGGGAAAGACGCACCACAAGGGATAATGCAGGTCTGGTAATGACAGAGCTGTTACCTGTCCCTAGGCCCAGAGGGAAGAGACCTGTGGAATGAGTGGTTTCTAACCCCAAGACACAGGGCTTTTATGTAGAAAAGGCCACCTTGAGAAGACTGTGGCCTTTGCTATAAGTGCAGCCTGTTGGAGATAAATTCACAGAGGAGTCGGGAGACTAATCACCCTGATCTCACTCTCCTCTTGCTCTCTGATCTGCCAGCGCTCCTTCTTAGCCAAATACAGCTGGACCCCAGAGGGTAAGGGAGCCCACTGGGGCGAACTTCCTGCGGCAGGACAGAGGAGGGTGTGGAGCGGACTTGGAGGTGCAAATGTAAGATATCTGCCACATTAAATAAATAAAAGTGGGTCATGCATGCATCAAAGATGACAAAAGATGACCAGTATTATGAACCCCAAATTAGTTGATCCAATTTCTTGTGAATGAAGTCCTTAAAAACATCAGCTAAGCCCTAATAACTTACTTTATGCCACTAGAAAAACCTTAAGGTTTTGTTTTATGACTGGATTTTCAAAATCTGAATTACTATTACTCATGGTAACAGTCCAATCCCTCACATTATTTATCTTTGATTCTGAATATTCTCCTGTCTAGATATTCCAGAATGTGGCAACTCCGGGGTGGCACCCACTTCCCACCCACTGAGGAAGAAATGCTTGGTGCTCAATCTGACTGTACAAGAAGCCTTAAGCAGACACAATTCTGGTCCAACCAGAGAACTCTGGGAATAGGCCTGTGGGTCCCCCCCGCCCCGCCCCTGCTTTAGCACTCTCAGCGTGGATATTAGAATATACTCTTCTGCAGGTGGAGGTAGGGGCGGGCAAAGCAGGACAATGGTACAGAATTTGCTGGAGAAACCACAGCTCAGGACTGGAGGCAGAAATATACCTGCTCCTCTCATCCTTCTCACCATACTGAAAGAAACTTAAGAAACAGCCTTTAGACCCTAGCGATGGATAGCCCACAGCCTTCAGAGGTCATTGCTACAGGCAAAGGTAAGGATCCATCCTAATCAATCTGCCATTCTACAAGGCTAGGCCCTAAGAACAGGTGGAGTGAGTGGTGAGCTACATGGGGGAGCTTCAAAAGGCTTGCCTGACCCCAACTATCTCCCTTGTTGGCCTGAGAGTCTGCCTAAAGTTTCCATCATTCGAGTCATTTCTTTATGCTAAGAATTTGCTTTAAGAAGTCCTCTGCTAAAATGAACGTGGTGCCTAAAAGGGCATGGTGCACGTTTGTCTTCTCAACATCAATCTTCCCTTCTTGTTTTGAGAACTCCACCTCTTACGAATATTTCTAAGAAGCAGAGCCCATTTTCTTGCATAGAAGCCTCACCAGAAGGTACAGCATTTGCCGTCACAGCCCCTCTTAGAGTCAGGGCATGGGCACGGGACCTAAGGGCACCCAGCCAGGTCCACTTGCTCCAGACTGCATATCAGGAGCCAGTGACACAAAGCAGTAGAATTTGGAAGATCTTTTATTTCGGCAGTGGGCCGAAGCAGTGGCCCTGTCCAGAGCTGTCAGTGGCAGCAGTGCAAACTGTGGTGTCCAGTAGTAAGGGGTGGCTGCAGTCATGTTCTCACAATTACTGTTTATGGCATGATATGCACTGTGGTCCCAGCTGCTGTGTAACATCCCCAATTCCCCCGTATTTACCAAGTCTGCTCCTCAGCCTTCCCAGAAAATCTAGAGCTCCCCAATATCCTTTTTCTAAAACTCACACTGTTTAAATCAAACGTAGTCATCCTCAGTTGCAAGAAACTAAGAACACCGACTGACACAGTAACACAAGAGAAGCCATAAATGTACCAGCCACGGATAGATTCATTTGTCAGATTAGCTAGCTGTCATCTTGGGAGACATCAGGACACCAAGAAAGAGTTTTTGTTGACGGGAGGAGGAAATCAGGAGTGTCTAGTCTTATGAGTATTGGCTAATGGGGCTTTCCTAGAAGGACACTAGACAGAGGCTTCTAAGAAACCTGAACATCCAAGGCACTGGGCTGGGGTATGAAAAGAGACACATTGATCAGAAAGATGGAGGTGCAATAAGGCAAAGTTAACACAGCTGACACCAATGTCAGTGAGTGTAGAGCCTAACTGAATGACCTTTTTTACACTCTGTAGAACATCTAAAGGAAGTTTCTGCTTTGTCAAAATAAGACCACTGATTTAATCTCTTTGATTTGCTTAAACATTTCTGCTTACATTAACATTCATGGTATTAGCGATCAGTTTGTGGGATTTCTGTCCTCTCTTCTTTTCCCCCCCAACCCTATCACTGCATTTGGCCTCTTTATGATTTAATTAGCAGGGATGAAAAGTGCAAGGATAGCATAAATTCTAAACTGATGAAAGGGCAAGAGCCATGTCTTTATTATCTTCTCCCTAGAGAAGAGCACAGAAATTGTTCATTATTCACTGAAGAAAGGAAGGGAGAAAGGAAACTAAGAACGTAGCGAGTACACATATTGAACACATGCTAAGAAGATGTTCGTGGTTTTTGTGAAGAGTAGGGGTAGTCCACAAGTCAGCAGAATTCACTCCATTCTGCATTCCTCTTTACGTCTCTCAGAACAAGGACTGTGCCTTGTGTTCAGTTTATTGCATGAATAAACTCAGGGCATGGTTATTGTTCTGTCAGTTTTTCCATGGAAGGGTCATGTTTGCCTGCCAGCAACTCCAAGAATGAACCCAGGGCACCCGCAGAAAACCCTTTCAGGCCCACTTTGACTGCAATGGCAATGCAAGCCAAGACTGGAGGTGACAGTTCTCATCTCAGATCCCCCAGCTCAGCTCTGAAATTCTGGTCTTTGGTAAATCCCCTGGGCAGTGACTCTCACCATCCACAGGACATGCTCTTGGAGTTGTTTTTGCTGTTTTTGCTGTTTTTGCTGTAGGGTAGCACCGAATCACCACCCTTTCTCACCAGCTCCATGGATGTCATCAAGGGAAGGGCACTGAAAAATAACCTAAATGAAACTACCAAAAAACATTAAAGAAAGAAAAAACACAAGCTGTGTTTGATTTAAAAAATATTTATGAGATATGTTTTTTATTTTTGTCGAATGTTACTTAATAAATATTTTACCAGTATGATAAGGATGAATCATGATGATGGAGGAAGAACTTGGGGTGCCTAAGGGATGGAAACATTTTACACTTTAATTTAAATCTCAATTTATCAGATTTGTCCTCTGCATCAGATCTTGAAATCTGGCAGAGAAAGTGTTTTTCCATGCATGGAACAAATTTCTAACCTTGGCTTGTAGCCAGGTCAGTATATGGAGGACCAGTGGCAGCGACTCTTGATTACCTGAAGCAGAGGCTTCTTAAAAGTGAGGAAGATGACAGTGCAGGCCACCAGTAAGGTGAGGCAGCTGGGGAGAATAAGCACAAGGTATAGCAGGCCCATGTCCACCCTCTCCCACTTACAATCCTGAGGCATACTTCTAGGTAGGTCTACCAGGCGAATGACCTTGGAGGAGAGGTTGCAAGTGACCATGGCCAAGTCAGCAATGGTGTGCAGATGCTGTAGGGCCCCCCAGCCCTCTACCCAACAGCAGTCATATGGATTCTGACTGAGGTAGATGGTCCGCAGACTTCTCATGAGCTGCCCAGACACGGCCCTCTGGGGAAGGGCTGTGAGTGAGTTCCTGCGGAGATCCAGGGTCTGCAGGGCCAGGCTGCCCCTGAACCTTGGGAAACTAGTCAAGGAATTTCCTGACAGATCCAAGTTCCTCAAATTCTTAAACCCAGAGAAGTCCAACTCCATGAAGCTGGAACTGAGGCCCACATTCCTGAGAGATAGGACCTGTAATGTGGGGGCAATCTTCTCAAGAGGGGCAATGCTCCCATTCAGAACCCCCCAATTGCCAGACAGGTCTAAGTGGGTGAGGGCGGTCCCCTGGAACGAACAAGCTTGTAATGCTCTCAGCCCACAGCCCTCCAGAAACAGGCTCCTCAAAGATGCCACGTTCCTGAAATCCACACAGCTAGGGGGCCCCATGAGGTCTAAGCCAGCCGGCTGGGGGCAAAGTGAGATCTGATTATGGCTCAAGTCAACTGTAGTGATGTTACCGGCATCAGCGAAAAGGCCAGTCGGGACACCTAGGAGCTGGTTGGAGCTCAGGTTGAATGACCGGAGGCTCCTCAGGCAGCTAGGGAGCCCGGGAGCCAAATGCAGCTCCGACAGCTGGTTCTGGCTCAGGTCCAGCTCTGTGAGCGCTCCTGGGGGCTCATGCTCCTGGATGTGGAGTGTCATCAGGCAATTCTGGTTGAGGTTCAGATGGGAGAGGGAAGGCATTTTCTTTAAGAAGCCATCAGGCAGGTATTGAAACTGGTTCTGGCTCATATCCAGGAAGCGTAAATCTGCAAGGTCACTGGAAGCAAACTCTTCCCAGAGGTTGACTGTGGTGATGTTGGTTACATTGCCGTCCACAAGGAGGAACTGGGCTGCCATCTCCTGCGGCGATGAGGTGTTGTACAGGTCCTTATAGAAGCCCATGTTGTTGTCCCGCAGCAGGAGGGTATGCAACTTGCTAGACTGGGGCAGGAGGGGGAAAAACAGCAGCTGATTGTGAGAAAGGTCCAGTGTCTCTAGTTCAAAAGCAGCCTCTTCCCCCGACGCCAGGAACCATTCCAGGACATTGTAGCTGACATTGAGGAACTGGAGCCGCGTGAGGCTGAAGTCCACAATGCAAGGAAGGTTGTTATAAGCCAGGTTGAGGTGTCTCAGCTCAGTCAAGCCATCAAAAGCACCACCCTCAATCTCAAAGATGTAGTTTCTCTGCAAATCCAGTTCTCTGAGGTGCCCCAGGCCCTCAAAGGCAGAGTCATCAAGCCTCATGATGGTGTTCCTTGCCAGGGACACAGACTCCAGTGAAGAGAGGTTCTGGAGCATGAGAGCTACCATGTCTTCCGACAGGGAGTTCCCTGACAAGTCCAACCTCCGCAAACCCTGTAGGCTGTGGAAGGCAGCTGCTGTCTCCTTGTAGCTCTCTGACAGGGAGTTGTCAGGCAGCGCTAGGCTGTGCAGGTGGGCCTGCTCCTGGAAGGCGTCGCGACCAATGCGCTCCAGGTGGCAGCTGTGGAGACTGAGGCTCTCCAAGAGAGGGTAATGCTGGAGGGAATGATTCCACAGGGTCTTGAGAGGGTTGGCATCCAGGATAAGCGTCTGGAAGTAGGTCGGGAGACTCCTGGGCACTGAAGCAAGGTTCTGCCCTCGACAGTCAGCGACTCCATTCACCTAGATCCAAAAACACGCTGGTCAGCAGGGAGGAGATCTCTGAGGCAGAGGTTAATGTGCAGAAACTTAGTTTGTTCATGACACTGTTTCTGCAACTTCTGGGAAGGGCTCTAGAGATCATAATTTTGAAAAATAATAAAAAAAGAATGGGAAACTATAGAACAAAAGAGAACTTTTCTTTATCCTTAACCTTCACACTAAAAGAGTCAGCTAGGGGCTGAGTTCCAGGCCTCACTTAAAATACGAAGCCTGTTAGAGAAGATCTGAGAACCTGTTGATTGGATGTTGAGTGGTGACAATTGTACCTGCAGTTTGGTTTTAACTGTGAAAAGGATTGAGGACCAGGTCTCTATCTGGGGTTGAATCTGCCATTTATTTCCTGTGTGACCTTGGGCAAATAATTTAGCCCAAGTCTATTATTTCCTCTGGAAAATGGAGAGAAAGATAGTACCTACTTCAGAGGATTGCAGTGAGATTCGATGAGAGGCAGCACAGTGCCTGACACACAGTGGGCATTATTAATATAATTGGTCACTACTGCATTGTAATCATTATTGCCACAACACCTGTGTGTCTAACAGGGATACTGCCTAACGACCAGCAGTGTTGTGGCATCTTCAATTCGCCCAAAGAAATTTTCCTTGGGACGCTTCTCTACATTCTTGATTGATAAAAATCACAACTGAAAAGGACTTCAGAGCTCATGATCATCCTGAATTGTACAGAGGAGTAATGTGGGGTCTGGAGAGAAGCGAAAAGTCAAAGGCAAAGCTGTGAACAGAGGCCAGAGCTTTTAATATCCAATTCAGTGCTTTTCCTGGATGCTATTCTACCACGACTGTGCTGTATAAGGAAACAGGAGGAATGGAATGACCCTAGTTTCATTGCAGAAGTCACTCAAGCCTCAGGAAAAACTTAGCCCAATGTTTTACAAGATTGGCAAAAACAGTCAGCCACAGGACGTCAGTAAGGTGCCCAGGAAAAAAGTTTTAAGTGATAAGATAGAAGAGCAATGGCATTCCTTTGCACGTATTGGTCAGTAGGACAAAGTCCATGATTACCAAAAATTGTGGGCCCAATCCCAAGGGACAAGTAGAGTACTGGAACAGGGGAGAAATAACCTGATAGAGAGGAAAAAACACAGGTTTGGAAAGATGACAGACTCAAGTCTGAATCTTGGCTCTGCCGCTTATTAGCTTTGGGCCTTGGACAAGGAATCAACCAAGCTCTTTATCTGATCATTAAAACAAAATCTTATAATAATTAAATACATACAGTATAGAAATATAGAAAATTAAACTCTTCAGTAACCTCAGTCTTTCCCTCAAAGAAACACCACCAACCTTTTGTTACATCTCTTTCTGGACTCTTTCCTCAAAAATCATCTACCTTTTTAAAAAAAATAAAAAAATTTTAAATGAAACCACATTCTATAAATTGTTCAGTAATCTACTTCCCCCATAATGTATGATAGACATATTGCCTTGGCAATAAAAATAAAAAAATATGATTACATTCTTTTTAGCAACTGTCTATTAGTTCATTGCATCAATACAATAGTGACTAAGAGCAAGAGTTCTAGGGTCAGTCCATTTTGGTTCTGCTTTTTTATCAAATGGCTGAGCTCGGGCTGGTTACCTAACAAGCTGAGACCTTCATTACTCCACCTATAAAATGATGATCGTACTCGTAATTTTCTCATAGGTTTTTTTTTTTGGAAGATTCTGGGCGATTACTTAAGTAAAGCACTAACACAGAACTTGGCACATAAGTGCTTAATAACTGGTAGCTAAAATGATTAGCATGATCTCATTCATTCATTTCCTATTTTTGAGCATTTCAGTTGTTTCTCATTTGTGAAATTCTTTCCGCACCTCCCTTCTCCCCAAAAGTCTTTGGAATTGTGATTGGGATTGCCTTACAATCACAGACTAATTGGGAAGAGAACTGATATCTTTACAAAATTGAGCCTCCCCAAGCAGAAACAAGGAATATTTCTCTATTTGAGTAAGTGTTGGTGTCCTCCGCACAGGGACTCTCTGAAGAATGTTGTGGTTAGGGGCTTTCCAAAAGCCGTGAGACCCTGTTTCACCACAGCTGCTGCGGTCATGGGGAGTCACACATCAGCAATTCCCTGTGGCCCCACTAAAGTGCTGCAAAAGGACCACAGGGCTGTCAGAGCCCAAGAAAACCTTACCAAGTCCACTTTCTGATAATGTCACATAGTTAATGCAAGGAGATACAATCGAGGGCACCTGGACTCTCACACTCTCAGCCCTCATTTCAGAAGAGCCACAGAAAATCCACTCTTTGAGTTCACTGGCAGCTGAGTCCCTACTCCTCCTGCCCACCAGGCTGAAGAGGATTAGGCAGGGAGTCAAGCCTGAATCCCAAAAGTCTGTCAAAGAATTGCTTTATTCCCTCCTCTTACTATGCCTAGTAACCCCTCAATTAGCTACTGTGAAGTAAATCTTTTCTTGCCTCTGTAAGGGAGTAATGGAAGTCTGTGTAGCAGAAACTAACAAGAACAAAAATAAAAATAGACGAAACACATAGCACTTAAGTACATACAAGGCACTGTTCTGAGTGTATCATGTACATTCACTCACTTAAGCATTGCAACAACCCAGTGTTATGGTATTATTGGTTGATACTATTATTACCTCCATATTTTAAAGATGTGGAAACTGAGAAACAGAGTGGCCTTGTGTCACCAGTTAAGTGGTGGAGCTGGAGTTTAAATCTGGTCTTGCTCATAACTTCTACCCCATACTGGAGTACACTGCAGCGTAGTGGTTAGAGGTTACTAAAAGTGGTTAAGAACTGCCACCAGCTGGGTTTTAAAGCTTCATCAGCCTTCAGAACACATTTTTGAATGTAAGTATTAACCCTGATATCCAATTTGTTTTCCCAGTGCCCCAAATATAATAGCACTCAAGAAATGTTTATTAGATATATGTTTCTCAAGCAGATTTTTTATATCACTGAGTTATAGGTAAAGGAAAAAATTTCTAGAGATGTGCTCAGTTGTTATGAGCTAAGTCTGTTTCTATATATAGGCTGAAAGCCCTGTAGAGAGTAAGCCACAAAAGCTCTGATATCTCACTCCCTGGATCGTCTTAAGCCCACGTGCAGCCGAGGATGTTGCTCTGCAGTGCAGCTTGGGCAGCGTGCTCTTCAGTACAGCTGTTTAAGCATTTGCTATTGGCTCATTCACAAATTCTGACTCAGGGCTTCTCCAACTTCAATATGCCCCACCATTATCAGATTCTGATACCGTTAGTGGTGCTCAATCATCCAGATTTCTAACAAGTTGCTCTTGTTCCGGATGGCTGAGCTATGCCTGTCTCCGAGGTCTCCTGTCTTCAGTAGCTACGAAAAAGGTGGAGCAGAGCGTAACTCAGTCATTATCTTAACCCTTGTATAAAGAGCAGCTTGAACATGGCATCATGCTAGGTAGGTACTGAGTGATTCAGATTCATTCATTCCGTAGCCTCCTTGACTGACAATCCAATAGTTTTCCAAATGAACCCAAACTTGTCAGAACAGAAGCAACAGACAACTCAGAGTTCCCGGGGAAACTCACCAACTTGCAGCCCCCTGGGGAAGCTGCTGTGACTTTTCCACTTCTGTTACTCCATTCCACCGTCAAGAAGTGAAAACCCAGGCAGAGCCAGAGGGGCAGTAACTCCATCTCAAGTGCAGCACTGTGGACAGAGGGCAAGGAAGAAGTAAGAGAAGAACATCCCAGAGGGCTGCTTCGCACTCTCAGTAGAAGGAGCCAGTTCCCAGTTTTGTCTGGTCTTGGAAGTCCACAGCTACAAGAAAGTGGAAACCCACAGATTCTTTAAATACCTCAAGTTAGCCAACATTTTCAGCTTTCACTGCAACTGTCAACAAGAACTCACTTTTGTTTCGCCTTTACCATTTGATGGACTGATGGCTGAGCTCTGAAACTCCTAAGAATCCAGCAACAGATGTAAGAAGCAAAGGATCTGAGGAGCCAGGAGTCAGGTCACCTAGAGTTCGATATGTTTTGTAGTTCTGTTGAAATTTTCCTCCCCAAACTCAAATTTGCCTGATGCTCAATAAATATTTGCTGAATGAATGAATGAATGAATGGTGAACTGAAATTGAAATAGTGTTGCCTCTGATAGCATAGAGTTACTGATTGTTTTGACATAAGGCTTTTAGTAAAGAGTAGATCTCATTGGTTAACTCATTTGAATATAGACTTTAAAATAGGATTTTGATGTTTTGGCTGGATAGGGGAAAAATTAAGGGGAAAATGAATATAATAAGGATTATATAATAAGGATTATTGATGAAGTGTGGTTACCAGCCCTCTTACCTAGCCAATGAGCATAGAACAGAAGTCATGAGAAGGCTTAAAATTATACATATACCAATAGAATTTTAGTACCAAGAGGAACCATAATGGAAATGTAATATATCCTCCACCATCACATTTTTATAGGTGAATACACAAAAACCCAGAGATAATAATGGCTTATTCGAGGTTCCAGATTGACTTAGTGGCAGGGCTGGGAACAGCCTGCAGATCCCCCTCTCTGAGCTCCAGGATGAGAAACCAGGATACTATCTCTCCTTGTAGGTGCTGGTGAATTGACTATCTTCCTGTTGGGAGAGTTTATAGCCCAGTGGCATTCCCTGTCAGCTCTGCATTCCTCTGAATCTGAGGCAAGTACCGGGCCCCAGCATTCCAACCGCCCCATTCTCTCCTTGACATCTACCTGGGAAAGACCACAGGATCTGCTCACCAGTCTTTTCCTGGACCAGCAGCACCAGTGCTAACATGAACCTCCTCACCTATTCCATGGACCTTTCTGCCTGACACCTCTCAGCTCTCTAGGGCCTCTTCCTCTTTCTCTTTCTTTAAATAATTTTACACAATCTCTAAGGCTATTTTTAACTTCCCGGTCAGATTTGAATACTCATCAGTGAAAACAGACAAACAGAAAAGCTAAGTGAAACCAGGTAAATCTACTTTAACCTTTACTATGGGTCAGGCCATCTCTCCTTCCCACAGAGGGAACCTCTAATTCAGAATTCATCTGTATTTGCCCAACACTGGAAATCCCCTTCCTAGAACCCCCTTCCACTTCTGCACCTGTGCAGGAATTATCACCTCATGCCATGTACAGGGCACAGATGGCAAAAACAGAGCCATATGGGCTCCTTTCTCAGTATCCTCTCAACACACACACACACACACACACACACACACACACCTCTGAAACCTTGGGATCACTGCCCACCTTGAAATAAGATTGCCAGACTTAGCAAACTACAAGATGCCTTTGAATGTCAGATAAACAACAAATAACTTTTTAGTGTAAATATGTCCCATGGAATATTTGAGACATACTTATACTAAAAACAATGCATTGTTTATCTGACATTCAGATTTCACTGGGTGTCCTGTATTTTATTGAGGAGAGACAGGGAGAAGGGAACCATGGACCAGATCCCTCCTCTCCTCCTTCACTCTCTCTGTCAGGCTTGGGATGGTACATGCTGCTGTGACACTGACCCTTCTAAGACGGCCAGCCAGTACATTGAAATACTGAATCTAGGTGTGTTCAGGGCAAGAGTGTAGTTCTTCAGGGAGGATGTAACGCTTCAGGCTGGAATGCTCAATGCCCTGATGTCACTTATACCCAGAGTGTAATTTTAATTTCTGGGTCAGCAAGAAAACTTTTGCAAATTTAAAACATATTTCCTTCCTTCTAAACTCAGTCAACCAGTCCAGAAAAACTCTTGCTGTACCCTCTGAGCAACTCCATCTCTCATGAGACAGTGTGGGAAGATTATGGAATTTAGAACCAGACAAAGATTTGAATCTTGGCTCCACTGTTTGTTATTTGTCCTTGAGAAATTCATATAAAGTCTCTGAGACTCAGTTAATCCTTCTATAAAATGGATATAAGAACAATTATTGAAAGTTTTAATGAGAATCAAATAGTATATGTGAAAGTGCTTCATTAATTATGAAGGTAGTTAATAACATAATTATTATTTATTAGCTCAAAATGCCAAAGAACAGCTTGTTCTTCTGTGTAATCTCCAAGGTAATTCAGCAGCCACACAGAGAAAGAAAGAATAATGAACAATTTGACTGAAAGAATGAATATAGCACATCAACTACATGTGTAAAAAATATAAGGGAAGGTTGGATTGAAAATTCTACATTATTAATTCCAGAACAGGGCTAACCTCAGGAAGAGGACTATGCTGGTTGAGAGCTTTTTGTCCTCAGAGCCATGGTTCACCCTCCCCCGCCCTGCTCTGGCTTGCAGCAGGCTGACTTCTGAAGGCTCTGTTTCTAAGCTCTAGGTGTCAGCTGGCCTCTAGCTGGTTTGGTCAATGGGAGACACTACTGGGAGGTGAGAAGGCATAAGGAGAGAGAGAATACAGGATATTTCTCTCCCTCCCACTCTGTCTTCCACAGAAAAGTACTTGAGCTTCTTCTGCGTCTCCTAGTCACTGGTAACGCCCTTCTTCTTTTATCCTCCCCCTACCTAGGAGAGGTCACAGCTTCCTAAAGTTACTGTTCTCTGGGATGACTATTCTCTGGTTGGCAGCTCAGCCTCTTTCATCATGCGTAGCCAATTTTCTGAATTAAATTTCCTCTGTTTCAAATAATCTGTATGTTTCTGTTTCCTGGTTGCACCCTGACTAATACAATGATGTAAATGAGAATGGGCTTGGAGAAGTACTAAACAAAAAGGTATGTAATGACTCTGAAAAGAAATAAAAGACTCAAAAATATCATTTAGGTTGAGAAACACTTCCTGGAGTGTGTAGCTGCAGAAGGCTTCCTCAGAGCCATGCCACCACAAAGAGTACAAGAGAAACAGTTTGGATGTCAAATCTCATTGGAAAATTTCATGAACCCTCTCCTGTGTGTACAGGACTGCAAATAAGTAACTGTCCCCCTTTACTCTTATCTCTTTGGCATTTTCTGAAAAACACACAAATTTTTTAAGCCAAATGTTGCTCATCTTAGATACATTTTTGCTGGAGAAAGGAAGTAAATGGAAACAGTTATGATGGAGGGCACACATAGCAGATGACATAAACAATTTAAATGGTGTAATCTGGAACCTCTCCTCATTGTAATTAAAAGGACTTGGATTAATGATTCTCATTTTATAGGTTGTGAATCACCGTGGGAGACATAGAGTTAATACAAAGGAACTACAGTACAACCCATGTTCCAAGTAGGAGCTTGGATGTCTCTTTCCGGTCTGGGTGACCATTGGGAAAATATCCTATATAAGTCCTGAGAGCTTGACATGAGAAGCAGACCGCATAAATAGACTCTGTATCTGTTTTTCTTAAACCAGATAATGAAGTTGAAGAGTTCCTTCCAAAGTGTGGAGGCAGAAAATGATAAGTCCCATTTCCTTCAGTATACTGTCTATAAAACCTACATTCTTTTATTCAGTTAACAATTTCTACAAAGTCTTTCGATATATTTTATCCAGTTATGATTATCATGCTCATGACTAAAGCCAGAGACTGTGGCTTCTAATTAGTGAAAACCTTTGAAGGATAAAAAACCACGGACCCACATGCCTGTAGGAAACAAGATTCTATACTTTGTCTGTAACACACTTGACTTGGAGATATTAAGATTATAAGTCCTATCTCAAGTTAGAGTGAAGTACTCTTAGTGTTGAATTTATATCTTTTCTTCATTTTCTAACTATTCTGTTTGTGTCCAGTCATCACAAAATGTCCTTGTTGGTTCTTCTCTAAGAAGTCCTTGAAACTTAGGCTTCAAATACTCAGTAGCATCCCCTCCATAACCATTAATCTTGAGACTGTGCATTCTAACTGGCTTATCATGGAAACCTGTGATTCAACCCCATATCCATCCCTTATCTATTAAGAGTATAAGAGTATTCTCTCTTTTTTTTTTTTTACTCAGAATCTCTTTGGTCTGGCTTTTCTCTCTCAGATCTTGTCATAACAAATAAGTGGTGAAAACAGATTCATTTCATGAAAACAACACGAATGAGACTGTATTCTGAAATAAGAGAACATTAGCAGTGAAGAAGAATGCACATCGGCTACAAAAATTCCTCTGCTTTAGATATTATGCTCGTTTGCTTTCCTTGTTTTCACTAAATAATAGGGAGAAACTCTGGCTTCATTGACCCAGGTTACAAGAAGACTGATTGATGGCCTGTGAGTTGTGTGAAACACTGAAAAGGATGGGAATATTTACTCCTTATGAAAAGGGCATCCTGGTCTGGTGGCTTGCCTGTAAGCTGAGGCAGCGCTTCCATACCCACCCTGTGACCACAACAGTTTTGGGCTCAGGACTGTTTGGACTGAAGAAGATGACTGAGGAGTGGTTCCAGGACAGAGGACATGTGGGTGATACTTGCTTTTGCAATGGACAGGGAAGAAAGGGTGTGTGAAATCGTTGGACTTGTCTCTGCTTCTTGAAGTCCTGAAATTTCCATGTCCCCATCACAAGAATCAAAATAGTTCAGAAATGTAGCAGCATCCCTTTTTATGTCAGTCCCTCTGATACTTAAACACATATTATGTATACTACTTTTTTTTCAAATGTACATAGATATTCTTGTATAAATAAAAGATAATTTCTTTTTTTAAGTGTTATTAATTCCAAGTAGCTTTCTGTTACGATGTAATGTTTGAATCAGCTGAT